CTATATGCTATAGTGGTCCGATATCGGCCGTTCCGACAAATGAGCAGTTTCTTGGTTGTGTTGCTCAATACCTTCCTCATTCCCCAAAGGGAAAAGTATTTCTGTTCGTGGCATAGGCGGATATGGCATGTTGAATCGGCACACTTGTTTTCCATGTATGTCTCTTAGGCAAGCTCGACCATGTCTGTGTTTTTGATACTGAATGAATTCCAGTAAGTCCAAGTCATCCCCATCGGTTGTGATGGGTCGATCGATGAATGTTTCAACATCATTTTACGGTTTATCATCTTTCACGGTGCGGTATTATAGCCAGACATGCTGGAATTCATTCTGTAGTAGTAACGGACACTAAATTCTCTCCAAAGTCCGTTTTGTAATATTTGGCATTTGGCGGAATCGATTGTCGATTACCGGAACATGAACGATCTGTCCTTATCAGTCTCGCCTTTCAGAGCTTGATAGAGCAGTAGCCTCTTCCGAAATGCTCTACTCCAGCAGTGATCGAATCGTAACAACTACCATTGTTTCTGCAGCAGACATATGATAAAAATGTTGGCAAACCAAACTGGCGGATCATGGCTAAACTTTCATCAGCGCCCAATGTGCAGGTGAGGATAAGTCCTTTGAGTACATGATAGCCTTCATCATGCTGGATAAGGTTGCTGACAAAATTTTCATCCCTCACATTGCAGCAGTTATATTCCTCGATCCAGACTTTTAGGAAATGGAAATTGCATTTTAATGCGCTCCAACTCGTAGAACTTAAATATACAGGAGCACGTCCACGCGCACACAACGCCGATCAGCAGCATCGAATTTCAGAACGTATCATTCATAAGTTGTTGTAGTTGCTCTTTTTCCGCAGTAAATTCTTGAGCTGACAACCTGAGAATCGTCGTCGGTTGTAACGTCCCTTGGGCATCTACCTTGTCCGCTATTTGCAAACCGTTCAATGGATCGATTTTCACGCGTTCATTGTCATTAAAGTCTTCGACTACCTGATTTAAATCCTCTTCCATTTCAAGGGTACATTTTCCTGACGGCATTAAGAGTCTCTTACTTCTCCTTATCTGCAGGATCCGCCATAAATGGCACAGTTTCCTCGTTTCCAGATTTCCAGCCAATCACTTGACATTTGGATATTATGCTGACGTAGAGCTCTGTACCCAGCAGATAGTTTAGTGCTCCAATATTTTGCTGGTCGCATCTCTCCGTCATAAAATTTTCATATTCCAATCGACGTTTCAAGTGCATTGAAAATATGGTTATCAAATCTTCGTGGAGCATGGTGACGTTCCATAACATGAAATGGGAGATCACCACTGCTCCAGAATAGCATATTGTCGTTCATATCCTAAGGAGATGATGCGCATAAATGGGATCCTCGGTGATATCATTCTTTCTTCCAGACACGTTAAATCCTGAAGGCATTCCGGAAATCAGAAACTCCAACTTGGTATCTTGCCCTTCAACAATACGATAGTACAAAGTGAGCAATTGTACTTTGGTTCGAAGACGGAAATTTTGATGGCAGATAAAAACTTTTCTAGCATCTTCTGAGCCCGCAAATTTGTTGAAGTCTGATATTAGATCTATTGATGAGGAACCAAGGCCACCGCAAAAGACGCATATTTCAGTGAGTCCTTCTTTATCCAATGCGTACATATCAAAGATATTGGCAGCTCGACGTTGACGTTTTCCGCTCAGCTGTCATCAGGAGAAAGTTCACGAGTCTTTCTATATTCCTCCTGGTTTGCCTCTCGCTCTAACTGACGACTGGATCCGATCTGCAAATTGTACTCTTTTCGTTGATTCCTGCTCGTTTGCTACTTGTTGCCTGGTTTGTGTACTCTTCTTTGAGAAGAATTTTAATGCTCACGACGTCTTTTGGATCTTCTCGACGACTTCTCCTCAGTGCTGCATCTCGTTGCCTCTTCTCTTATTATTGCATTCTGGCGCCGTACAGAACGTTCCATTGTATCGCACTCATGCTCCGCTGCTCTATATTCCGGATTGGTTCTCCTATTTAAATGTTCCGCGGTGTTGCGTTCCTGCTCTTCAGCTCATATTCCGGATTAAGCGCCTGTTCGAAAGTCCTATTGTGCGCTCCTGCTCCGCTGCTCTATATTCTGGATTCAAATGTCTTGAATGACTCTCAGTACGCGCTTGCTCGTGAGTAGGTTCTGTCGTTCTAGTGGAACGTGCAGAACTGTCACGCGTTCTTCCTCAGCTGGTACTCCAAATTTGAGCGTAATTTGGCAATATAGTCGTTCCTCTGTCTATTGTTTTCTAAATTTGACTATATTGTTGTCGACTTCGATTCAGAGCATTGCGACGTCTTTGTTCCTGCGATTGTTCAAATAGTCTTGGCATTTTTATAAATAATAAGATATTTATACAAAAAAATATACTAAAATAAACAGTGAAAAATTATAATAGAATTAAAATAATGCTTTATTCTTAAAAATAATATTTTAAAATAATTTATTATTTGAAAAGGATTTTTCTGTGTTTTGAAAAATTGTTGAAAGTTTAAGCTGCTGCGTAAACTGAAGTGATAGATGTGTTTGTATTATTGAATGCTTTAGAGCCCGACTTCACATCTGCAAACTCTTTTGCCTTTGGTAACATCAAGGAATTTTTCGAAAAATGTTAGTTAATTAAAAGTTGCATTATAGAGGTTCTTTTACCTAGGTTAAATTTTCTACCTCCTCACGAACTATGTTTACTTTCTACCTAGTTTTGTTTTGTACCTACCCATCAGTTAATTAGGGTTTTAAAATTATATATTAAATATAATATCTTGAATTATTAGGATTTATTTATTTTATGGGTATTAAAATATTATTTCGCCTTTTCTTATTTATATATTCTTAAATATTGTTCATCACCTCATACCAAAATTTATTTAGATCGATCAGTTTGTATGGCAACTATATGAACAGTAATCAGATCATTTTTATGATATTTTATTGTTACCGTGACCAATAACCATGCCATCATCAAGTATATGGAAATATTAAGACTGTTTTGAGCTACGCTTCGAACAATGTTTATTTCCTTATTCTAACTAGAATGTTTTATACCTATCCATCAGTTAATTAGGGTTTTAAAACTGAATAATTATGTTTTCAAAGTTAGTGTTCTATTATTATTAATAAATAATAATATATCTTGAATATAGGGATTTTTTATTTAATGGTTAATTAAATATTTTGCTCTTCATATGTATCCATTCTTAACACAATTTTCAACTTATTTTCAATTAGCGCATGTCACTCATTTTTGGCAAGCAAAACAGTTTTTGGCAGATATAGAAAATTTTATTGAAGCTCAAATTGGACAGCATAAATTATTAATTAATCTGATTTGTTTATAATATATTTTTGTAAAGTGGTTAAATCTGATTACAATGTAAATATATTGAGAAATTGATTAGTTATTTACTCACTATTACATATAGGAAAAATTTGAGGTTTAATTTTCTATTACAAATATATTAATTTCGAAAAATGGGTTCTCTATTTAATGAAAAGTAAGTCATGCCAAACTTTGAAGATTTCATATAAAAATTGCCCATACAAGATCTTATTTTGATGTCAGTTTCTATGACAGCTGTATGCTATAGTGGTCCGATCTTAACAATTCGTTCGAAGATTGAAGTCATCTTAAATAATCCATACTAAAACTTCCATACAAAAATTTATTTGATAGGTCCGTTTCTATGATACTGTCTGATATGAAAATTCGTCTGAAGATTGTAATATATCTTGGACAATCATCATCATGCCATATGGCAGCTATATGCTATAGTCATCCGATGATACAATTTCTTTGAGATTGCATAGCTTTATTTAACAAAACCAATACGAATTTCGTGAAGATATCTCGTCAGATGAAAGAGTTTTCCATAGCACTTGATTCGATCGTTCAGGTTATATGGCAGATAATGCTATGGTCATCCGATTCATACAATTTCTTCGGAATAGATTATTGCCCAAATAATAATCCATGCTAAATTCGTGAAGATACCTCAAATGAAAGAGTTTTCCATAAGCACTTCATCTGATTGTTCAGTTTGTATGGCAGCTATATATAGTCATCCTCTAAATAATTTCTTCGGAGATTACATTGTTGCCTTAAATAATAATCCGTGCCAAATTTCGTGAAGATACCTCGTCAAATGCAAGAGTGCTTGATTCCGATTGTTCAGTTTGTATGGCAGCTATATGCTATAGTGGTCCGATATCGGCCGTTCCGACAAATGAGCAGCTTCTTGGTAAGAAAAAGACTGGTTCAAAAATTCAGATCGATATCTCAAAAACTGAGGGACTAGCTCGCGTATATACAGACGGACGGACGGACAGACGGACATGGCTCAATCAACTCAGCTCGTCAGGGTGATCATTTATATATGTATATACTTTATATGGTCTCCGCCGTTTACTTTTGGATGTTACAAACTTCGTGGCAAAATTAATAGACCCTGTTTCGGGTATAAAAAAATGTGTAAAAACGAATTAGTGAAGTGTTAGTGGATATAAAAGTGAAAAATAGAAGTGTATAATTAATTCTAAATCGCAAAAATACGTACTTTAAATAGTTGAAATTTTCAACTTTAAACGTAAATATCTCGAAAACTATAAGTTTCCCGCGGCTATATCTATAAATATTCTTAATCTGGAGAATCTCCTCTATCCGCCCATACCCATTTTATCCCCGAAAGCCTGGGACGGCATACTAAAGTTTTCCCGCCGGCTTACAAGAGATTAACAACGCAGAACTCGCTTCTCCACATTCACAGCAAAAAAAGGGGTTAAATATCAGAAAACAACAAGAAAAACAAAAGGTAACAAAGGAAAACAGTTTGTAAAATTTTATTTTAGAAAAGCTTTAATGCCACATTTAACTATATATATAAATTTTTTCAGTATGGAGCATAGGGCAAATATCCTGTACAATTACCACTTTGACACAGGCAGATACGTCCTTGTGTTGTTAACATAAATTCGTCCCCCCCGTTATAATGGAAACAGAGCTCTTCTCCAGCGTTTATGTCTCGTTTTGCAAATATGGCTGTTAATTATATGAAACCATATCGGTACTGAAGTATGTATGTTATACTTTATGCAAATAAAATTTACCTATTTTCGGAATGGGGCAATCAATCCGTACAGAACGTACATCACAATTGGGATCGCAACTATGATTTATGTATCGTCCAATATTGCCTCTTTTGGTTGGGTCAATAATTGTTGTAATGGTAGATTTCTCATGCCTTTCTTTGATTCTTTCCTTCATAAATAAAATGTAATTATTATCAAGAGTTTGTTCATATCTCTTTAAACGATTGTGGGCTTCTTTACGGGAAATTATTTCTCCTGCATATTCACAAATAAACGCTCCTTTGGGTATATGTTCATTTGAAATTAACCCCTTGGATTTAAATAGATGAGAATGTACTATTTTCAAGTTTGCTCTGGGACCCTTTTGAACTAGTCGATTAGTACATTTCAAAGGTTCGCATTTACAAGACGAACTACACTCGTAAATAAGATCTGCACTGTTGTCTATATCTAAAACCAGCTCTTTTGTTTCTGAAAGCCACTTATAGTTCCTCCCATGACAATCAAGGCATGGAGCACTATTGCAATCACACCCATTCAGGAGAATGGAATTATATTCCCTCTGCAGGTTCTCACACTCTTTGTTATCCATTCTTTGATCGCTAATAACATTTTCCAGTACATATTCCAAGAAAGGATCATCATGATCATAGAAATCAAATATATTTAAACTACTTGTACGCATTGTCATTTTAGTAAATCATATGCAATATTTTCCTCAATTGTCGAATTAGGAATGGCAAACTCGATTCCGATTCTACTCGAGAAACAATTTTCAAATAAAACAATCGATTTTTCGGAGTCGACCTTAACCTTCCGAAATTAATCAAGAATCGATTCTTGGCTTATGATTTTACGGGTGATGGGTGATTAATTTCAAGTTCTACATATTGTAACGGATTTCTCGATAAATCGTCTACCTGTAACTCACTCTTGAGTTCGATCACTGGATTGTTAAATAAAAGTCCCAATTTAATGGCTACACACTTATCTTTCTTTCTAATTCCAACAACTTAACACTTATTGTTCGTTATTCGAGCTTACAACTTGTTGCTTATAGCTTAATTGCTCTTATCACGACAACACTCTAACTAGAACTGTGTTTTCTGCACAATCCGGCAGCCCTTATATAGTAAATCTGTAACAAAACATTGCTTCTAGAACATTCTGGCCACTACGAATTCGTTAACTAATTTACTACTAGAACATTCTGGCAACTACGAATTCGCTGTCTAGTTGCTTCTGGCAGTTTATCGTTCATTCGATTTTGTTCTATCATCTATGTTCGTCACACTGCCCTCCACCTAAGTCTGATCGTCCCGATTAGACATATTTGCGATACCAAACAATCTTTTTATGTCCCCCATCTCCTCTTCTAGGCTGGTGCTGACATCGTTAGCCGCCCTTCTCTTCTTGGAGTTTATTTCATCCGTTTTCCGGATACTCAGTTTCTGGTACATCCCTTGACTTAAAGCTGACTCGAGATTCCATTCTTGATCAGAACGTAACTCCATTGGAACACCGAATCTCGTTACCCACTTGTTGATGAATGCCTCCGCCACTGGTTCAGTCTCTTGATTAGGAACTGTGTATACTTGTGGCCATTTGTTGAAATGGTTCGTGACTACCAAAACATGACTATTTCCTAATTTATTGGTGGGGAATGGGCCATCTTCATACACGCCTATTTTCTCAACTGGCGCACGCGAATTGTGCTGTTTCATCTGCCCATGACTCCTGGACCTTGATCCTTTAGCTACAATGTTCTCAGCATATTTCGCAATCCTTTCTATAGCTGATTGACAACCAGTCCAATAAAACCCTTGGCTTCAAATGCTCCAAGGATTTCATGTCTCTCAAGTGCCCTCCTCTTAGACATTTGTACTGCACGTTAAGAACATCATTAATTCCAACCCTTGGAACAACCATAAGTACTCGGAAGGTTTGCCCATTTTCGCCTTTCCATACTCGATGCAAGCAGCCATACACTAACTTTAAACTGCTCCGTTCTGCCCAATATGATTTTGTGACTGGCCTTCCTGTAGTTATTTCTCCAATCGTTGTACATTGGTTCAACTCCACCTTATGTAATGCACCTTCCAATTCTGGATCTTCTTGCACAGAGTCATCCGTTTCAGGTTCAATTTTATGCTGATCTTCCACCTGTGATGGTATACACGCTTCCTGCTCTTCCAACTGTAAGGACACTTGTGCTGGTATCCAAGCTTTTTGCTCTTCTAACTGTGAGGAACCATCTTTGACGAACATTGAGCCTCTTCCTTTTCTTCTATCTTTGTTGTCTCTTCTTCTAATTCCATGTGAAAGACATATTCCTCAACATTAATGTCAATAATGCCTCTCTCAACCATGATTGCAATTCAGTTTTTAATCCATTTGTCGCCAAACCACGTTGTTCCAGCTCCTTTTTCAGTTGTGGAATCTTCAGATCGTTAAACATGGCCATTTTTAAATAATTATCTCCTTGGGAATTTATTTGACAATCCCACTTCTGACACCAATTGTAACGGATTTCTCGATAAATCGTCTACCTGTAACTCACTCTTGAGTTCGATCACTGGATTGTTAACTAAAACTCCCCAATTTAATGGCTACACACTTATCTTTATTTCTAATTCCAACAACTTAACACTTATTGCTCGATATTCGAGCTTACAACTTCTTGCTTATGTCTCAATTGTTCTTATCACGACAACACTCTAACTAGAACTGTGTTTGCTGCACAATCCGGCAGCCTTTATATAGTAAATCTGTAACAAAACATTGCTTCTAGAACATTCTGGCAACTACGAATTCGCTAACTAGTTGCTACTGGTAGTTTATCGTTGATTCGATTTTGTTCTATCATCCGTGTTCGTCACACTGCCCTCCACCTAAGTCTGATCGTCCCGATTAGACATATTTGCGATACCAAACACAAAGCTTTTATATCCCCCATCTCGTTTTCTAGGCTGGTGCTGACATCGTTAGCCGTCCTTATCTTCTTGAAGTTGATTCTATCCGTTTTCCGGATACTCAGCTTCTGGTTGACTACCAATACATGACTATTTCCTAATTTATTGGTGGGGAATGGACCATCTTCATACACGCCTATTTTCTCAACTGGCGCACGCGAATTGTGCTGTTTCATCTGCCCATGACTCCTGGACCTTGATCCTTTAGCTACAATGTTCTCAGCATATTTCGCAATCCTTTCTATAGCTAATTGACAACCAGTCCAATAAAACCTTTGCTTCAAATTCTCCAAGGATTTCATGTCTCTCAAGTGCCCTCCTCTTGGACATTTGTACTGCACGTTAAGAACATCAGGCATTCCAACCCTTGGAACAACCATAAGTACTCGGAAGGTTTGCCCATTTTCGCTTTTCCATACTCGATGCAAGCAGCCATACACTAGCTTTAAACTGCTCCGTTCTGCCCAATATGATTTTGTGACTGGCCTTCCTGTAGTTATTTCTCCAATCGTTGTACATTGCTTCAACTCCACCTTATGTAATGTACCTTCTAATTCTGGATCTTCTTGCACAAAGTCATCCGTTTCAGGTTCAATTTTATGCTGATCTTCCACCTGTGATCGTATACACGCTTCCTGCTCTTCCAACTGTAAGGACACTTGTGCTGGTATCCAAGCTTCTTGCTCTTCTAACTGTGAGGAACCTTTTACTGGTTCAGACGCTTCCTCTTCCGACTGTGAGGACCGTTCCGTTCTTCCGACTGCGAAGACACTTTTGCTGGTGTACAAGCTGCTTGCTCTTCATACTGTGAAGATCCTGGTTCACATGCTTCCTCCTCTTCCATCTGTGAGGATACCTGCGCTGATATATGCACGTCGAGCTCTTTCGGTGCTGACAACTGTGCTGAAAAACGTGCATTTTGCGCTGCGAAAAGCTCTTCCAAATGCGTTGAAAATCGCGTTTCTATTTGAGACATACGTGTATCCTGTTCTTTAAATTGTGTCGACATTAGCGTTGACATCGCTTACCCCATCTGCGATATTGCATCTTTGACGAGCATTGAGCCTCTTTCTTTTCTTCTATTATTGTTGTCTCTTCCTCTAATTCCATGTGAAAGACATATTCCTCAACATTAATGTTTTCCGCCTCCATGGCCTCTCTCAACCGTGATTGTAATTTAGTTTTTAATCCATTTGTCGCCAAACCACGTTGCTCCAGCTCCTTTTTCAGTTGTGGAATCTTTAGATCGTTAAACTTGGCAATTTTCAAATAATTATCTCCTTGGGAATTTATTTGACAAACCCACTTCTGACACCAATTGTAACGGATTTCTCGATAAATCGTCTACCTGTAACTCACTCTTGAGTTCGATCACTGGATTGTTAAATAAAACTCCCCAATTTAATGGCTACACACTTATCTTTATTTCTAATTCCAACAACTTAACACTTATTGCTCGATATTCGAGCTTACAACTTCTTGCTTATGTCTCAATTGTTCTTATCACGACAACACCCTCACTAGAACTGTGTTTGCTGCACAATCCGGCAGCCTTTATATAGTAAATCTATAACAAGACATTGCTTCTAGAATATTCTGGCAACTACGAATTCGCTAACTAGTTGCTTCTGGTAGTTTATCGTTGATTCGATTTTGTTCTATCATCCGTGTTCGTCACAATATTGTGCAACTAGTTAATGAGTTCATAGTTGCCAGAATGTTCTAAAAGCAAGGTTTGATAAATATATTACTCAATAAGGGCTGCCGGATTGTGCAGCAAACACAGTTCTAGTTAGAGTGTTGTCGTCTTAAGAGCAATTCAGGCATAAGCAAGAAGTGGTAAGCTCAAATAACGAACAATAAGTGTCACCGATGAGGTGGGGCGAATTTAACGCATATTTGGTTTATGGTTTATTTCTAAATACACAAGCATTTAAATTATTCACTTACAAAGAATTATAATATATGTCACTTACCGCAGTGTATCCTTGCATCTTCTTGGCTGGCTGATCGATGACAAAGCTCGAATATGATTTGCCAGAACTTATATGCACAAATATTGTCATTTACTGTGCAGATCAGCATAGGAGAATAGGGGAACTGCACACTGCAGTTTACAAACAACAAGCATGTAGATAACTTAACATATGAAGTTTGTGCCTACCTGTTTATGCGAAGGGAGAATGGCAAACATATAAATCGCACAAACAAGGAAACATAAACTGTATAGCGGGAAATGTATGTATGTAAATGGAATGCGAGACAATTCAAGAGCGTATAAAGAAATTGGAATTGAAACATATAACTGTAAAATAAACACAGAAATTAAATATAATATTAGGGTGGGCCCTAATCTATAACATCCCCGCCCCCGTGAATCAACCTGATTCACCACCATCAATGTCCAGAACAGCAAGTTTTGAGACTGCGCGTCGTTTCACTCCTCTGGAGGTTCGTATGTCTGCTCTTCGCATCTCTCCATCAAGCTCAGGGTACACTCGCTCTACCTTCCCTCGGCACCATTCTCGCCGTGGAACATTAGGGTCGCATATGAACATCAAGTCCCCTTCTTTTATCGGCTTCGTTCGTTGGCACCATTTTACTCGGCGAGTCAATGTAGGAAGATATTCAGTAATCCACCTGTTCCAAAAATTATCCCTCAATTGACGAGCGATGCGCCACTGCTTGCGTGATACACAAGTTTTTTCCAAGTCTGTGTCTACTATCGGAGTGTGTGCTACATTTGCGGCTCCCAGAATGAAATCATTAGAAGTTATTGGCTGCTCCTGGTCCGCGGTGATGGGCAAATGAGTTAGCGAGAATTAACGATATTATCAGCTCCAATAAGAAAACTATTCAGGGTATGCTCCCTTGGTGCAACTTCTTTCAAAGTGTGACATAAAACTCGCTTGACACACTGTACCATTCTCTCCCATGCACCACCTTCCGATGGATTAAATGGTGAATTAAATACCCACCGGATATTTTTCTGTGATAATTCACTTTGTAGACGTACGCAGTCGAATACTTCTGTGAATCGCTTGGCTTCTAGGTCAGCACCAACGAAATTCTTTCCATTGTCCGACCTAATCCTTAAGGGCATACCTATGCGGTTCACAAAATTACTTATAGTAATGATACAGGAGTCGGTACTCAAGTCATGAACCAGTTCTAGGTGCACAGCTCGCACAGTAAGGCACGTAAATAGTGCCACCAATCTCTTCACAGTGCTGCATCGAACAGTGACAGTTAGTGGCACAAAGTAATCGAGGGCTGTGTAGCTAAACGGTCTCACATAGGGAGTGAGTCTGTCCACAGGAAGCAGTCCCATCCTTGGAGCAGCTTTATTTAAACGGCATACACCACAACTGGCAATCAAACTACGCAACAAACTTCTTAGTCGCGGCACCCAATAATTGCGACGGATATCTCCAATGGTAGCTTCTAAGTTCTGGTGCTTCATGAGGCTGTGATGATGTAACACTAACAGCCTTGTAAATGCATGATTTGGCGGAAGAATAATAGGACACCGTGCGCTAATTGGTAGCCAGCTAGCTGCGTCAATGCGTCCCTGCACTCGGGGGACACCTTCCTCGTCTATGTATGGCGAAAGTTGTAGTAACGGGCTGTTGGTGGAAATTTCCTGACCGTTTTCGATGGACTGAGTCTCTGTTGCATACACTTCACGTTGTACTAGGCGGCATAAGAGGCGTTTGGCATTCTCTACTTCTTTAGCGGTTAAACCATAGCATTGGTCTAGCTGTCCGCGGCGGCGACAATCGTTGATATAGCGTTAAAGCCAGGCAACAGCTCTTACCAATCTTTTAAATGAAGAGAAATTATTAAAGTTCAAAAAATTACGACTCACGATGACTAAAGCAAATTTAGACTGTAGTTCTTCATCAGGTTCATCATTTTCAACGACTATGATATCTTCAGAGGGCCAAACGTGCTCGTCCTGCTGTAGGAATGGGGGACCACGTGACCAACGCGTCACTGGACTAAAATTGATGCAATCATTTATACGAGTAGATTCGTCGGCTACGTTGAGCTTTGTGGGCAGCCATCTCCAATTGGAAACGTTTGTAGTGGCCAATATCTCTACTATTCTGTGCTGTACGAAAGGCTTGTAACGACGGTGCTCACTTCGAATCCATTTGATAACCGTTTTTGAGTTACTCCACAGAATGCAGTCTGTGATGTCAAGAGGGGGTTCGTCGCGGATGCACTGCATGAGACGAGTGCCTAAAACAGCTGCCTGAAGTTCAAGCCATGGCACGGTAAGAGTTTTCATTGGCGCGCATTTTGACTTAGAAGAAACGAATGTTACATCAATTTTACCCGATTAAGTTTGCGATCGAAGATAGGCAACAGCGGCGAAGGCATCTTCACTAGCGTCGACAAATACGTGGAGCTGAAGTATTTGAGGTACACCATTTCCAAAATAAAAACGAGGTATGGCGTTTCCATAACGCACGCATAAGTAGTTTGGCGCCAAGGACGAAGTTGCTCAGAAATCCTAGAGGGTCGAAAATCGACATAACAATGCTTAGGAGTTCTCTTTTAGTAGGACGTCTTTCTCCATTTACCACTGCTTCACCAACATTATGGAATTTCAATTTAAAACCGAAACAATCTTACGATGACTGCCAAAACAAACCAAGTACCCGCTCTCCAACGAAACCTTCTTTATTATCAATTGGACGTGAGACATCAGTACCGTTGAGTGCGTCAACTACTTTCGATTCATTGGAAGTAAAATTGCGAAGCTAAAAACCAGCATCCATATGAATCGCTCGGAGCTCTTGGGATATAGAAATGGCCTCCTCTTCCGAGCAGAAGCTATCAACGAAGTCATCGACATAATGGTGGTCCAATATCGCCTTAACCGCACGGGCAGTGGTTCTGCGATCTTTTTGGTGCCCCAATGCGTTTACTTTTTTGACATAATCTGCGGCACATGGTGAACAGGCAGCACCAAACGTCATCACGCACATTTTGTAAACGTCAGGGGGATGAGAGGCGTCACCACCATGCCAGAGAAACCACTGTGGGCATCTATCGTCTTTTCGTATAAGGACTTGGTGGAACATCTCCTTGATGTCTCCACATACGGCGATCGCGCCTTCACGAAAGTGGAATAATATCGACGGCAAAGGCCGTGTGGACCCTTCAGGAGCTGTGAATTGAGGGAGCTTCCACTTACCTCAGAAGCACCCCTGCGGGCAGGGGATAGAATATGCCCGCGGCAAGGCATGCCTGTCGTAAAAGGCGACTAAAAGCCAATATGCACTATGACTGTTATTATATTCTTTGCCCAGTAATATCAGCATAGTATATGGAGTGATAGTGCTATAATACTCAGCTTGAACTGATATTAGAAACACTTTAAATGAAAAAGCAAATAAAAAGACATTTGAAGTTCAAGCGACAAATGTCACCAGTCATTTGAGTAATGGGTTGCTCAACTGGCAGTAGTTTAGGCTACGCAGTCTGACCGGAGACTTTCCGGTACCACGGGGAGCAGAAAGCCCTTGGACTTCTGTTCAATCTGCTCATTGGGTTCGGCCCTTTGGGGAGTATCGTGGTGGCTGTGGTTGAAACCTAAATGCTGGAAGAACTGAATTTTCAGTTCGAAAAAAAGAAGTTACACAAGTAACTGGGTGCCGTACCCGAAAACGGAAGAGGTTTTAGGTCGGCCTCGAATCATACCAAGATGGTAGTGTGGACCCAGACACACTGCCTTTGGTATCCAAATAATACTTGCCATTCATTCTTGTATTATTTGGGGCGTTTATCAGACGCGTGTATTGATACGCCGTGCTCTTGAGCACCGTGAGGTAAGGCCGTCGCCGGCAGGTACTCACGTTAATCTACAACGCAAGTTACCTCAGCAGCGGCGTCAAATACCATGCGTAGCTTTCCGGGTTTGTTGGGATTGGCAGCGGCAAAGTGCGGCAAATACCAAGTCTTGGGGGTAGATATAGCTGCTTCTACTGATGACAATCTACTGATAATAATTTATATTTCTTTCTGACGTAGGCGTTTATGATTTCCTTGTATTGAGTGGCGAAAATTGCATCTCGACGCATTCTTTGCTCTACGGTGACTAGACGTTTCAACGCCATGTTTTAGCTGTCAGGTAACCTTACGTTGTCAGTTCTCCATATGAGACCTTTTCCAAACCGGGTGCGGAACTGACACCGAAATTCTCGGTCTTGAAGAAGTCAGCTACCATATTTTGGAGAGACTGATCAGCTTGGCGGTTAATAAACAAACACGATGCTGGAGATGGTAGCGTAGTTGAAGTTGGGCCAAACACCACCCATCCTAACTCCGTATTGGCAATAAATGGACCATGCGGGTTTACCTTCATAGTTGTCGATGGCAATCCCAAATGGCAATGATCAAGACCAATCAAGAGTCTGGGCCTAACCTGGGCATAAGGTTGTACTGGAAGCCGGCTTACCCAAACCGTACAAATTATATTGGCTAATTTCGATAACCACTCACTGAAATGTTTCACTGTTGCATATGGCTGTATAAGCGCTGCGAAACTTGCCCACTCAACTCTTGATCATAGGCAATTTTGACACAAGTTCGTCGAGTAATGTAGGGTTTGACATATGTAATTCCCCATCATGTGCAGATTGCAAAAAGACACAGATGTTACATACATTTGTTGCAAATGGTATGATTTTCGGCATTGAATTCTTCGAAATAGGTGCACTTTCCTTTACGTGGGCCAGTTGGCTACGGATCAACTGCTCCGGGCGCCCAAGTCTAAATTTTAACAACTCAATTATATTACTGATATTGTTCGGGTGGATCAGCAGTGACTTGACCGCTTTAAGCGCGAGTTTTGGTTGCTCGAGCGGAGGAAAAAATAAAAATGCCGACGATGTTACTTCTGTGACATTATATTTTATTCTGTTCCTTTTTTAAATTATGTTCTACTTATATAACTACTAAAGTGATTACAATTTTCTTAATCTATTTCTTTGTTTTTCTATTTTCTTATGAAACACAATATTTGTTAAATGTAATCTTATTTTGTATTGAATGCAAACAAACATGATTGTGTGGTTTACCCGATAGTGTCTGTGTTATCATTACAGTCAAACAGATGGACCAAAACATGTTTGTATGCATTTGCATTATGTTCTTTATCTCTACTTGTTATCTTATTTTTTGTAATGTTTACTTGTTTTTGTTAATCTTTTATTTTGTCCAATTTACAATATTTTGTTGTGTGGTGTCTGGTTGGGATGATAGTGTACACATAACTCCTCCATCCCTTAATGGAAAACTCTCCTGAGTTTGAATAGTATTGTTTTTCTTTTTTTTTAATTTTACAAGATTTTAAAATTATTATTATAATCAGAATAAAACTTAAAATTGATATTCCAATAGGAGAGATATTTTATTGATATTTTAATTCATTAATTTCTTTTAAATTTTCTTCGTTTTTAAATACAAGGTCGTTAATTATAATTTTGTTAGTGAAATTGTGAGTATCATAGTTTGGATATTAAAATCTTTGATTGTATGATATTTTAGTATTTGAGAATGTTTGGTAAAGGATCTTAATTGTGCAGTTATTATAATGAATCAATGTAGTGTTTTTCAACTTAATTTTTCTGTTGTCGCAGTTTTGGTTTAGTTCTATGCCATTTGCATTTTTTATTAAAATAGTTTCTTTATCAATTTGAAAAATTTCTGTAATGCTATTTTTGATAAGTTCACAATTTAATAAGTAGATGCAATGTTTAGAAATTTGTAGGTCATTGAGTGTTTTAGCTTCTTCGAATTTATAAGTGACATTTTTGTATTCAAAAACATTTGCAATTTCTGCTGTTATTTCTTTGCCTGCTGTATTTGGTATAGGAATAATAGTTTTTAATTGTACCGATTGAAATTCTTTTGGGATTTTGACCACGAACATTAACACATTTTCTTTATATTCCAAGGCGCATAATTTTATATATTGAAGTTTGTTGAGGTCTTTGTTGTAATTATAAATTTCTTCATTTGTTAAAATGCCACTTTTTGCTGAAATAATGTTTTCCTGAATCTGGTTTACTGCGTCTTTGAGAATGTTTATCTTTATTGTTTGTTCATGAAGAATCAATATTTTGTCTGTTCTCTCTTGATACATTAAAGAATTCTTTCTTTCGTCTTCAATAATTTGTTTTAATTTTGTGAACGTGTTCGAAAAGAAATTATTAATTTTTATTTGGTTGTTAGAGCTGTAATTGAATTATGTAAATTTCATCTACTTTCTTAACGTGATTTTCAATATCTATTCTATCTCCATCATCCATCGTTCCAAATAGAAATTCATGTACAGAACCTATACCGTTAATTAAACCTCTCTTTTTATACTCTCGCAACCTGTTGCTACAGAGTATAATAGTTTTGTTCACCTAACGGTTGTTTGTATCACCTAAAACTAATCGAGTTAGATATAGGGTTATATATATATAAATGATCAGGATGAAGAGACGAGTTGAAATCCGGGTGACTGTCTGTCCGTCCGTCCGTCTGTCCGCCCGTCCGTCTGTCCGTCCGTCCGTCCGTGCAAGCTCTAACTTGAGTAAAAATTGAGATATCTTTATGAAACTTGGTAGACATGTTTCTTGGTACCGTGAGACGGTTGGTATTGCAGATGGGCGTAATCGGACCACTGCCACGCCCACAAAACGCCATTAATCAAAACATATAACTTGCCATAACTAAGCTCCGCAATAAGAAATAAGACTGTTATTTGGTACACAGGATCACATTAGGGAGATGCATCTGCAGTTAAAACTTTTTAAAAGTGGGCGTGGTCCGCCTCTAATAGGTTTAATGTGCATATCTCCTAAACCGCTAATGCTATAATAACAAAATTCACTGGAAGCAAATGTTTTTAGCACTTCTATTGACGGTGTGAAAATAGTTGAAATCGGGTGGCAACTCGCCCACTCCCATATAACGGTACTGTAAAAACTACTAAAAGCGCGATAAATCAAGCACTAAACACGCCAGAGACATTAAATTTTATCTCTAAGATGGTATAGATGACTTTTAGGAACGCGTTCAAAATTAGACAGTGGGCGTGGCACAGCCCACTTTTAGGTGAAAACCCATATCTTGAGATCTGCTTAACCGATTTCAACCAAATTCGGTGCGTAACGTTCTTTTCATGTTTCTATGTCATAGTGCGAAAATGGGCGAAATCAGACTACAACCACGCCTACTTCCCATGAAACACCATTTTCAATTCCATCTGATTCTTTCACTTTCCACTATGCATATCAAGCAACA